AAACATTTTTTGTTAATAATGCTTTGGATAAATTCTCTTAAATACGTTTTTATTTTGTTTCTACTTTTGTTTGTTGCTTGATAAATTTTATTAGCGGATTACGGATTTTGTTATGATATTTTATTGAAATTTTTGTTTTGTATGTCATATTACGATATTTTAATTAAATCTTGTTAAAGGGGTTCTATGAAAAGATTGCGATGACGTTCTGTCATCCTCATCTTCTTTTAGCTCCTATCTGTTTTACTTGTTTTGTTAAATATTATATTATGTAGTGGAATTTGTAAAATCCTTATTTTATGTAAATAGAGAAAGAAAAAAAAAAAAAAAAAAAAAAAATATTTAGCAACAATATTTTCCTGGTTTGTGGTATTTTGATAATCCAGATTCATTTAACTTAAAAAAGGTTGATGGAAAAAACAATCTGCACTCTTTTCAATGACAGATCCAGTACTTTTTTTATTGTTTAAGATAGTTAACTTCCAGTCATGGAGCAAATTCCAACATTTGTATGTTTATACTTATGTCAAATAATGATGCTTTGCAAAAAATTGCCATAACTGGAGGCTGGGAACAAAAAAAAAGCTCTTAACTTTTATTCCCTCCCCCACCTCAAACGTGAGGGGCAACAAGTTGATAAAATGTTTTTTGTACTATTCTCAACTAGACTTATATTCATTGAAATATTTTAAGTTTTATAGTACTATCTCTCAGCGTTCAAAAAAGATGACTATATAAAGTTTAACCCCTCCCCCTCAAATTTAAGGGGGTTACAAATTTTATATAAACACATTTTATCAACTTATTGCCTCTCATGTTTGGGGTGGGAGAAGGGAATAAAATTTAAAAGCTCCCTCTTCTCCATCCGTACGCTCGGGTGGGGCAGAGGGAGTCTGCAAATAGCGTTTATGAGAGATTAGCAGGAGGTCAATTATAAAAGTAAGGAGACATAAATTAAAAAATAAATAAATAAATTGAGTAGCAAGGTTGAAAGCGTAGGTACTCTAAGGAAGGTGGAGGGTACTCAAAAAAGCGTACAGCAAAATGTATGGGGGCAGTTCCTATACATATATTATATATAATATATGTCTAGGAACGATCGTGTATAATATATGTATAGTATGATAAAACTTTAAAATTTTATTTTAACATCCAGAAGTCTTTTTTGTAATATATATTTTTTTGCTATTAATATAAACGACAAGATTGAAAAAATTTAAAAATTATTATTACGCTTAAGGGAGGAACTCAACTCTCCGCAACGACACTGAGCTAAGGAAGATACGCATTTAGTAGAAAAACTGACCAGTTTATAAATCTCTTATAAGTTTGACGTAGAGGAAAAGGTTTGCATGTTAATTTTTTTTGCTCTTAAATAAATTTTTGAGAATGAGTTATTTGTTTATCGTTTATAAAAAGGTATTGAAGTAAATAAGGAATAAATATAGAAATGATCGGTGAGGAGTAGATAAGTATAGAAAGACCCTTATTTTGCGGATCCTGACCCATAAAGACCCTTACTTTGCGGATCCTGGCAGCTAGGATATATATATATATATATATATATATATATATATATATATATATATATATATATATATATATATATATATATATATATATATATATATATATATATGTTACAAATAATATAAAAAAAGAAAATTTAACAAGTCAAGATATCGTTAAGAAATAAAGTATAAAAATGAAAAAATAAAAAACGCGGATACTCAAAGAAGACCATCAGGTCTTGTCACAGAGAAACCGCTATTGAAGAAATTAGAACTTTTTTTTTTTTTCTTTGGTTTTTCCTTTTGTTGTGGTGTTTACGCCTTGCATTAATCAAATTACTGTGTCTTCCGAACAGCTGACTCATGTGAATAATAATGTTCATAATTTTCTAAATAAATCTTTTGAGCGCACTGAATTTAATTTGTAAAAAATAATCACTGAAACTTATTAATTGTTACATATTATTCACTATATGTAACTGTATATAATCAATGTAATCACATTTCAAGACTGAATAAAGTACATTTCCAGAATGTTCAAAAGGTTGTGCAAAAGAACCTAGATACGATGGTTATCGCTGTGAGTTTAGCCAAATTACCAAATTTCCGTTTACGCTTCTGACAGCAAAAACGCCAAGCCGCTGCCAAATATATAAACTACTCTTCTAACGACCAAAACGACAAGCCACTGCCAAAGGATGGTTTACCTCCAAACGTAGCCTACATACATATATTGACAGAAATGCATACATCCAATCTTTTTTATTTTCTTTTTCTTATATATATATATATATATATATATATATATATATATATATATATATATATATTAATACTTTTTGATATTTTTTTTTAATTTTTTTTTAATTATTATTATTATTTTTATTATTATTATTATTATTTTTTTCAATGTTTCTATTTTTGTTACTTATATCATTTTGTTCAATTTCCTTTTATTACAAAATTAATAAAAAGTAATTTAATGTTATAAATAAAAATAAAAATAAACATACAATATTTCAATAGAAGAGTTCAAAAACTAAAACATGTTAAATAATTCCCTAGATAAAACATGTTTTATAATTGTTTGTTGATAAAATAATTAATAAAGAAATAAAAAAGAATAAACATTAAAAAAAATACATATACTAATATAGATAAGAGATTTTCAAAAATTTAAAAGTAGAATAGTATATTTTCAGTTGAAAAAATGAGTTTTTTAAGATTTTATTTAAAAGAATCAAAATTACATTCTTGAGAAAAATCTTTAGAAGTGTTTAGAACTATACTATTCCATAAAAATGGTCCGCGAAATGTAATAAAAAATTAGTTTGAGAAAATGGTTATCGAATTAAGCTATCGTTCCTAAATATATATTTATTTTTATCTTTTTGTAAATACAAGTTACGAAAAGAAACGAGTCATAGGTAGGTCTTGCATTTATACATAAAACAAAGAATATTAAAAACATTTATTTTATATATATTGAGTGCTTTCATATCATATAAAAGAGGCTTGGTGAGCAAAACGGTCATTGAAATTTATATATATATATATATATATATATATATATATATATATATATATATATATATATATATATATATATATATATATATATATATATATATATATACGACTATATTTGTCTTCTTCTTGCCCCAGCCATGTATTTATATATTTGTATTGCCTAAATTTTGTAACTTTTTTCTTTCTGATTTGCTTTGAGAATCATTGTAATAAGATTTTTTTCTGTTTTAAAAAATGCTGACATTTTACCAACTTTTATTAGAACATCATTTTCTGCCTGTTACTTTTCTGTTCTTCTTTTTTTAAACTGAGCTCCACTTAGTTTTTTTTGATATCTCTAAGCTAAAAAAAATAAACTATTTTTTGTAAAAACTATAGCAATCATAGTTTGATCAAATGAAAGATCTAACGAAATATAACAAAACTGCATACTTATCGCAAAATGACCAGTTTTGCACTTATCATAAACTGACTAATGACTACAGATATAATCTGTGGTCAAGTTGATTCTTGATAATTAACTGCTTATCTATTTAATCTACTTTTAAAAATAGAGTTGTTTAGTGCAAATTCTATTTTAAGATAAATTTGGAAATTGATGCTTATTTTTACACATTTCAACCCTTTATGATAAAGGACATATGATAACAACTAGAAAACAGGGTAAAATTAAACTCAACCAACCCAAGTCTTACACCCAACGATTGTAAGATAATTTGATTATAGTTTTCTTACAAAATTTATTTTAATAAAATAACACCAATTTAAATAGTTTCTTCAAATGTAATTGTACAAAGCTCCATATGAAAATTGCGAAATCTTAGATCAGTTTAATATCTAGTTTCTAATCTAATATGCAGCCAACTTTTAAAAACGTATAAAAGCAGTGGCGGATTAAGACTTCTTTGGGCCCGGCGCTATTTTTGTTTTTGGAGGGCTTTTTATAGGCCAGAGCCTAAAATGGACTTGAAAAAAAAAAAGGTCCGCTAAAATTTTTAGGAGCCCCTAAATTTGAAGGGCCCGGGGCTATAGTCCCCCTCTCCCCCCCTTCCTTGATCCGGCACAGTATAAAAGTGCACGATAAATGCGTTGATAATGTGACAATGCATGTAAGAGACTTTAAATCAAAAATTGCATGTAAAACAATAAATTTTGTTTTACATTAGCTCGATAATGAGCTCGGTAAGACCTTTGGCATGTGGACTTAAAAAGTGTTGTTAAAAGTTATCTTAACGTTTATCCTATTTTTGGCACAGTTTAAAATAAATTTTTGAAGACATAAAAATTAAAAATTTGATAAAAGGAGTCCAACTTACTTAGAACTTTGGCCCTTTGTTTTTTTTTCAAAATACATATTTACGCTTAAGGATGTTAGAAAACAATATACAACTACACTTTACATCTTAAAAGTTTTTGAACTCAAAAAAAAAAAATTATATTCATATATATATATATATATATATATATATATATATATATATATATATATATATATATATATATATATATATATATATATATATATATATATATATATATATATATATATATATATATATATATATATATATATATATATATATATATATATATATATATATATTTATATATATATATATATATTACAAGTTAACTAAGACCACGCTAATCAAGCTTAGATTTTTTTTATAGATAATCTTTAAGACACTAACGAATCGTTGGTGTAAAAATCTAAATACGATCGACTTAGCATGAATATGGGCCAAAAGATATTAAAGTAGGACGTACTCCTTTAAACAAATAAAATAAAAAGGGATAAAGAACAGGAAACTTGGATTTGGAAACTTGAAGGCAAATATCGTCTTTCTTGTAATTATATAAAAACGTGCATATCGGGAATCTACTACCAAGCATTTGTATTTATATCGGCGAAATCGGTCGGGCAATTGCTCATTACTAATATGTTATATTTACAAAACCAAAATGGCTGGTTCTGTTAGATCGTCTGGTCCTGACTGGATGCTTCATCCAAACTTGGTTTTTAAAAACTATGAAGATCCTTTAATAAAAAATTCATTCAATTATGGAAGTTCGACGCATATTGTACCTGAAAAAATTACCGAGTCATTCATCGATTCAGTAAGTCAATTTTTCTTAGCTCTTTCTGTCAAAAATTGATAAGTTTGCTAGGTTTCAGGTAATATTATCATGTAGCATTGTTAGTTAACATGATAAAATTAATATATATATATATATATATATATATATATATATATATATATATATATATATATATATATATATATAATAGTGAAATATATATAATATATAATAGTGAAAAGTGTATTGACATTATAAAATCATTAAAACAAGCATATGTACTCAAAAAAAATAACAAATGCTCTGGTATTTTAATATGTGGTGACTTTAACTATGCAAACATCAAGTGGAACGATGAAAGTTTTAGTGAAGTTATAAATGACAGTGACACAACAGCAAGTATGTTTATTGAGTTGTTACATGACTGTTACCTGCACCAAAATGTTATCAGTCCTAGTTTTCAAGTAAAGTTTGGTATTGATACTAACATTTTAGACCTCATTTTGACTGACAATAGCAACAGAGTTTATTTTCTTGAACATTTTCCACCATTAGGTGGTATCGATCATGGTCATCATATTTTGAAATTTCGATTTGGTTATGAAAATAAACCTAATTTATTAATATCACTACAAACGAGGAAGAAAAAATTTTTGTGGAAAAATGGAAACTATAAAGCGTTAGATTTGTATTTTAATAACATAAACTGGATATATGAATTTGAAGGACTAAGTGTTAATGAATGTTACGAAAAATGGCTAAGAAAATATGAAATAGGATGTGAAAAATATATCCCAACGCTAAATTTAGATAAAAACTCTTTTCAACTAAAAAATAACTCACTATGGATGACAACTGAACTTAAAAGCATGTGTAAAGAAAAGAAAAAATGTTGGTTTAGAAACAGAAATTCAGGTTTTAAAAGTCTTTTAGAAGTCAATAAGTATAAAAAATTAAATAAAGATATAAAAAAACTTGTCAAGAAAAGTATTCGCAATTTTGAAAAAAACTTGGCACTTAATTCAAAAAGCAATCCTAAAAGTGTCTATGCTTATATAAACAACAAAACAAGATTTAAAGACTCGATCAAAGCCATAAAGCTACATAATGGTATTATAACTACTGATAATCAAGAGATAGTAAACACTCTTAATGAATTCTTTGCTTCTGTGTTTATACAAGATGACTCACCAGAAGAAGTTTTAGATGACAATCTTTTAACAAAATGTTCTGATCCAGATTTTAGTATTTCTCTTATTCGGAAACATTTGAGTAATTTAAACATGTACAAATCAGTAGGTCCAGATAATGTTCACCCAAAAGTTTTAAAGGAATGTTCAGAATCTTTGTCAAGTTCTTTAGCAATAATATTTGTTAAATCGTTTATTACAGGATCTATTCCAAAGTTATGGTCATGTGCAAACGTTGTTCCGTTATTTAAAAAAGGAAATAAACTAGATCCAACAAATTATAGACCGGTTTCATTAACATCAATTGTTGGTAAAGTTATGGAGAGAATTATTAAAGATCATATGATGGTGTTCCTCATTGAAAACAATTTAATTTCTAAAGAGCAACATGGTTTTGTTAATAACAAAAGTTGTATAACAAACCTGTTAGAAACATTAGATTTAATCACGCAAGCGTATGAAGAGGATATTTCTGTTGATGTTTTATTTTTGGATTTTAAAAAAGCATTTGATTCAGTCTCTCACACGAAATTACTGAAAAAATTATTCAGACTAGGATTTGTATCATCTTTGTTAAATTGGTGTAAATCATTTTTGTCAGGCCGAACACAGAGAGTTGTAATAGGGGAATATATTTCAAGTTGGAAGATGGTTACTAGTGGAGTACCACAAGGTTCAGTACTCGGACCTCTTTTGTTTGTAATCTTCATTAATGACTTATGTAGAGGGATTATTAAAGACACTAAATTATATGCAGACGATACCAAAGTTATTTCAATCAATCATTGTTATGATGATAATAAAATATTACAAGAGGATATTAACAGGTTAGTTAAATGGTCTGAAGATTGGTTAATTACATTTAATGAATCAAAATGTAAAGTCATGTATATTGGCAAAAAGAATCCAAGATATGAATATAAATTGAACAACTCTGTTTTAACAGAAACAATGATAGAAAATGATCTTGGGATTTTCATTTCAAATAATCTAGAGTGGAAATATCATGTTAATTCAGCTATAGGTAAAGCAAACAGAAAATTAGGCATGATCAAAAACTCTTTTGAGTATTTGGATGAACTTTCATTAAAGTTACTATACAAATCGTTAGTACGTCCCCATTTGGAATATGGAGCAACAGTTTGGAGTCCATTTTGGAAAAAGGACATTGACAATCTTGAAATCGTGCAACACAGGGCTACGAGAATTGAATCTTTAAGGGGGAAGTCGTATGAAGAAAGATTAAAGATACTTGAATTGCCAACTTTGTTTGATAGAAGAAGAAGAGGTGATCTGATTCAAATGTATAAGATCTCAAAAGGAAAAGATATTGTTAATTTTCACCATCCTCCTTTAAATTTTGAGCTGGAGCGATCTAGTAGAAGTAACAATTGTAGAATACGCAGACAATTTACAAAATCAAGAATTCGTCACCATTTCTTTACAAACAGAGTTATAAATGATTGGAATTCTCTTCCACAATGGATATTAGATAAAGATAATTTGAACATTTTTAAAAACAGTATCGATAATTATTTCGGTTTCTGAACACTAATTTTTGTAATCGGCTGTCATAGTCTTAATTCTACGTAATTAAGACTCTACACACCTCAAGTGTGTACAGCACCTTTTCTATTCTATTCTATTCTATATATACATATATATATATATATATATATATATATATATATATATATATATATATATATATATACATATATATATATATATATATATATATATATATATATATATATATATATATATATATATATATATATATACATATATATATATATATATATATATATATATATATATATATATATATAAATATATATATATATATATATATATATATATAATAATAATAGAGTTTGATTATTTGAAAAAATACAACTTTTTGATGGTACTTGAAGTTTCATGCCCTTCGGCAATCATCAGCCATATTTTATTCTTTTAAAAGAATAAAATATGGCTGATGATTGCCGAAGGGCATGAAACTTCAAGTACCATCAAAAAGTTGTATTTTTTCAAATAATCAAACTCTATTATTATTATTATTGATCTATTTTGTAAACACTTACATTATATTGATCACTCTCAAACGAACAAGAGATTTTTGTATCTTAATTTGGTACAATAAAAACAACAATATATATATATATATATATATATATATATATATATATATATATATATATATATATATATATATATATATTATATATATACATATATATAAATAGTTTTAAACATAGTTTGAACATGATGCATTTTATATACTGAATGTGCACAAAAAATAGATTTAGTCAATCTTCTATAAATATTTTTTCATAACAATATTTTGTTTAATATGAGTTTACAAATTAACCTGAATAACGACAAATATCACTTATACTATATATAGGGCAATTTTGTGTATCTAGGGTTGGATTTTTCAATGCCCAAATTCAAGGCTCCAGTCTTGTCTGAATATGCCGAAACTGATATAATAACTTCTCTAAACTAATTACTTTGTATTTACATAGGTATAGTGACTTAAATTATAAAAGTCTCTCATGTTGAAGGGTTTATAAAATTAGTGGTCTAGCTAGGATAAGCTTTTTTTAACTTACCTAATGCCAATTTCAACAAATTTGTCTAGTGTTATTTGATTTTTGAAAAACAAGTCTACATGTAAAATAGTAGTCCTAAAACAACTGCGATTAGAAAAAAATTCTGCTATAATCAAAATTCAACAATCTACCTTGATATCTAGCAAATTCTATATTCATATATGGCCCTAAGTAACTTGATAGCCTCATTAAAAATGTAATCTAATAACGAACCTCGATTGAGAGGAAACATATTAAACATTGAACTTATAGAAAATTATTTCCATTGTAAAATAATCTAAGATACCAGCGACAAAAGTTTACTTTAGACCATCAAAACATGTTTTTAGATTATAACTTGCTGTAGAATCAAAATAAGATTTAGGAATAAAAAATTTAATAACTAATAACTCGACTGAGAAGCATTACTTAGAACTCTATAGTTTTCAATTAAAGTGGGGTGGCCTTAGGTTCAAGGAGGCCCTAGGTACACAAACTTCTTCTATATTGTTTAATTGTTTATGATGATATATTGATACTAAACTAGTTCAATTTTTTCACATATTCTATTCTTCTCAAAATTCTTCATCAAAGGTGGCAAACAATTTGCCATTTAATTTAAATTTATACAATTTAATTCCTTTACAGAATACCGAATTCCGTCCAATATTATTTCTGTGCACTTCTTAACTAAAAATATACTAACTTTATTGAGTCTTATTTAAATGCCCAAAACTATAAGATATAGTATATAAAAATGAATTAAAAAAACTTGTTATAGACAGATATTTAAGTTGGAAAACATATAAAGCCTCAAGCTCCCTAACTATCTGGGGCAAGAGAGGACTGCAGTACTCTTTGAAGTATTAAAAGCATGTATATCCAATTTAACATTAACAGTTTTTTTTTTTATCAAAATTATTATTTTAATATGAAATATTTTATACATTTTTTCTACCAGGTTGCCTTATGATCAAAATCTTATGTAAAGGCAGTATAATCTAGATTTTTAAAATAAATTACCTGATAATTTTCCAAAACAAGACGATGTAATGATTCAAAATCTAATAAAAACTGTTTGATAAATCAGTTGAGTGACAGTTTTTATTTAATTACAGTGTTTTTAAAAGAATGCAAGGGGTTCATGTGTTCATGAATCCCTTTTATTTTCCATTAAGTGGAAGTGAAGCTGGTATGTAGTTACACATTTGTTTACTTTGACTTGATTCTAAAGTGAAGTAACATAAATGTTTTCAAAGTGGTTAATAATTTGTTAAACTTAGAATATTGTGACACATCTTTCAATAATATAAACAGTCCATAAACAGGAAAACAAGGTGCATACATAAACAGGAAAACAAGGTGCATAAATCATAGTATCATTGTATTTTGAAAGTTCATCCTTTGACAATAAACAGGTTCATATTCAAAACTCTTATTGATTAGATCTAAAAATTAATATTCATTTTCATTTTGTATGATGTTTTCTTGTTCTTACATTAGTGTCTCCATATTTTGAATCTTCCTATTAATTTGTAAATCTGTAAAGTACCTGTAATTAATCTGTAAAGTACCTGTCTATTTTTTCGAAACTACATAACTATGAGCATTTTATAAAAATGATAAAACATAAGGCTTTACTTTAACTTTAAGTCTCTGATGACAAAGACATTTTAGTTGCTTAACTATATGGTTAGGTCCTTCAGTCCACTTTCACATTTTTTTGATTTCAAACTAAATTAACACATTAACTCCAACAATGAAATCTACCAGTAGTTGAAGAATATTTCTTTAACTGAAATTAGGATTTTTGAACACAAAAGTAAACATGTTCTATTTTTAAAATTAAAGTATCTTGCATCCAAATGTGACCCAATTTCTTTGTCTTTAAGATGGCCTGGAAAAATTCCAGCGTTTATTGGATGTGTAATTTCATAAAGATGCTTTTGATTATCTGAAAGCTATTTTACAAATTCAGAATCAAATTCTATCATGGCATTATAAAATTTAATTTTCACTGTGCTATTTTTGACTTTTAAGCTAGTAACCTTATGCATAAGTTTTCCAATAGAACCGGAAAAGTTATTTTTCTTTATAGTTTTTCGATTAAGCTGAATCATAAGATGTCGAAGAGGTACTTGATTTGTATGAAGAGCACAAATTATCCAAATTAATTTTTTAACCCAATTTATGTTCAATGTAATGGATAACACCTCCTTCCTGATCAGTGTTTAAATTAATTGAGTCTACACCAACATCGTGATCCACAATCCATTTGTAAAGATTATCAGCTATTTGTTCAGCTGCTGTTTCTACTCTTTTGCTTCAAAATCGTAAGTAAAATAAAATTAATATTTATCTCCAGATTTTAGAACAAACTAAAATACTATTTCATTTTCCTCCTCATTTTTCAAAGGGTTATAATTGCACAAGTAATGATAATTGTTAACTAATTTTTATACCGCATTTATTCTATATTTTTAAAACCATAGTTTCAACAAAAATTTAATTTATAAATTAGCATTCACACCTCACTTTTTGTTCCATTTGTGTGCATTCTTACTCTACTAGAAATATATACAATTAAAAACTAAATATACTATCTTTTAAAACCTAGAATTATGGTAAACATTCTATTGTTTATCAGTCTGTCTGTGAATGTCATGAAAAATTCTCTCTCTCTATAAATCTTAAATCTGGCCTTGTATGCAATACTGTTGCCATATCTAGAGTCGATCTTCCATTGATGTCCTTTCTTTTTTAGATGAGGTGCAAAACGCATTGTAAACATAGTTGAACTGACTCTTGCAGCCAACCTCCAACCATTACAACATTGTTGTAATGTTGCTTATCTTTCTCTTTTCTACAAATACTATGATGGACACTGCTCTAAAGAGCTACCATCTCTTGTACTATTTACTAAAATTTATTGTAGTGTTACTCGTCATTCAATTAAGTCTTATTCTTTTTCTGTGACTTTTCCTAAGTACTCCAAAGACTCTTATTCGTCTAGTTTTTTTCCTCAATCATTCTATGGAATTTACTTCCTTTATCTTGCTTTCCTGATTCATATTATTTGCAGTCTTTTAAGTTGTCTGTCAATCTTTATCTTGCTCTATAAACTTCATCTTTTCTCTTCCAGTAACTTCCAACTCTAATAGTGGTTGCTTGCAGCTTTGCAATTTTTACCTATTTTTCTTAGCTGTTCATCTTTGTTACTTTTGGACATATACTTATTGCATGGGCTTTAAAAAGACAACATAAGATTTCATATTTACATTTTGTCACATAATTTGTCCACAAACATATTTCTTTTTCTTTTAGTTTTCTATTTTTTAATGTTTTTTACAACGTCCCACTCAATCACAAGTATATCGGCTGCATATTTTTCTGAGACCAACAGGATTATAGAATTTGCTGACATCCGAATACTTTTTATTTTAATAAATAATTTTTTAAATAAAATAATTTTTTTTTTCATTTTTTTATTTATTTGTAAGTTCTATAATGGATGATAATTTTTCTTATGTTTACTGTGGGGTCATTCCATATGAAATCATCCTGATCATGACACCCTTATGTCACAGAATTTGTTCATTTTTACCTCACTTTCAGTCCATATTTAAAAAATAATAACTGCGAAAATTTTAGTTAAAAAATGCACATGGGTTCCAGAGATATTGTCAGTTAAAATAAAGGCTGACTCAGCATTTTAGTAACTATCTGAAGCAACTACAAAGCAACTTTGACATATAGTATCTTCATAATGGCTTGGAGAAATTTACTTAAATTTAGTACCCCAATAGATTTTTACTTGTGGAATCCAAGACTCGATTATCTCATGAAGTGCCTTGTTTATCCGATTTTGTTCAAAATTATTGACTTGTAAATTCATAATATTTGGAGGTAAAATGAAGACTGTGGCCCAAAATCCCAAATAAAAAGTTTAATTGTATATTATTATTTTATCTTAGGTCTACTGAAAAAAATTAAATTCATCAATTGTCTCTAATACTTGATCAAAATTTGCGTTTAAAAATTGTGTCTTTTTAGAAAAATTTAAATTTTGTAATGAAAGCAATTGAAATGTTTTTTAAAATATTTGTTTGAATAAAACATCTAATAGTGTTAAATAGTGTTATTTATTGACTAGTTTAGGACATTTATAGTCATAGGCCAAGTGAGGGCCAGTCCCCCCCCCCCCCAATCTCCCTTGATTTTTTTTTTTTTTAATTTTTTTTCGATGCATTAAATGATATAATAATAAATAATTGTTAAAATTCAATTTTAAAACATTTTTTTTTTTTTTAGTTTGATTTTGAAAAACAATTTTTTTTTTCATTATTTCAAATCAATTCAATTTTTCATTAATTCAATTTTCATTAACTCAAATCGGTGAATGCTTACCTCTTATTATATCAAAAACAAGTAAATGTTTTGTTTTGTTCTTTTTAAAGGTTGTACTTTACCACTTATTCATATATTGCAAAAACATAAAGTAGATACTTGAAAAACTGTAAAGAAAATTTTAACCAAAATGAATGCCTAATTTTAGAAGATTTTGCTGAAAATTATTAATATGTTATTTAGGATGAGGTTCAAAGTTATCACTGGAGTAAAAGTCCATGTTCACTTTTTACAATTGTATTTTATTTTTTAGAGAAAAAAGTTCTCAAACACAAATCTTTTTGTGTTTGAGACTCAGGAAGATATAACTAGATATATCAAAGAAAATCTATCTGATGTATCAAGTGTGAAGTACTTTTCCGATGGTTGTGCAGCACAATTAAAAAATTTTTAAAACTTTTTAAATTTTTAAGATTTATCAATCTTTGTCATCACAGTTAAGACTTTGATTTAAATGCTGAATGGGTATTTTTTACTACCAGTAATGGTAAATCCCCCTGTGATAGTATTGGTGGGACTGTTAAAAGAGTAGTATGTCAAGAAAGTCTAAAACAAATAACTACTGGGCAGATTTTAGATGTGAATTTAATGTAATCCTTTTGTAAAGCCAAGATAAATGGAATTTGTTTTAATTTTATTTTTAAAGATAAAATTGACCAAACACAAGCACAATTAGAAAAAAGATATTTAGGTGGAAGAACAGTTCTTGGCACTAAGACGTATCATCATTTTATTCCCATTGCTTCAAACACTATAAGTTATAAAAAAACAAGTATTGATACATGTATTAAAATATTTGATATCATTTCAAAAAGCAAAAATAATAAAGAGATTTCATTAAACATTAAAAAAATGGATTATATTGCATGTTTTTATGACGGATTTTGGTGGGTAGGTTTTGCTGAAGATGTAAGTGAGCTTGATATAAAAGTCAGATTCATGCATCCACATGGACCAGGTAAAAACCTCTTTTGGCCAATGAGAAATGAAGAGTATTGGGTGCTCAATTCTGAAGTTATATGCCTAATTTCTACACCCAATATCAGGTCGTACATATAACATATCTGATTTAGACTTAATATGAGCAGTTGGTTACAAAAAAAAATTAAATACATTTAAATTAAATTTGTTGTAATTTTATTTACCTATTTTGCATTTAGAATTTGTCTTTCTTTTTTTCAAATCCTTGGATGGAAGGTTGAGAAGGAGGGGGTTTAAATAAATCCCACTGTCCACCTTATTATGTCAATGACTATATTAGTATTAATCTACTAAATAATACCATGAAGATATTGATTGTTAAAATGTTTTATTATTGTTAAAATGTTAAAAAAAAGTTTTCAATATTTTTGGTTTTAAAATTTATGATTTATAAAATCGTGAAAATATCTTAGTTTTGAGTGCTTACTTAAAAATAAGAAGTAAATACTGAAAAATTGTTTCTCAAACTAAAAAAAAAAAAAATTATGATTTTAAATTGAATTTTAATAACATGTGATAACTTAAAATCTGGACAAAGTTTGAGCAAATATTAAAATATGAAGGAATAATTTAATATACTTGCAATTACTTCTATTTTGTTACAAATTTAATTCTTTAACTGTATTAAAAAAAAAATTATTTAGTAATAATTAAAAATTAAAAAAAGACTTGTAACGACGACTCCCTTAGAAAATGAATGTACGCATTTTTGCATTTGCATTCAGATAAAAATAAAAGCTTTATTGTAAACCATTTTTGAATGGAGAACATACCAAAATCTACTATTTGTAATATACTTCAAAGAAAGAAGAATATTATAGGACCAGAAAGAAAAGTTTGAAGTGGTCACAAAGCAAAAAAGATGTCTGCAAAAGAGATAAAGCGTCTTAAAAAATTGATTGATCAAAAGGATGGTATTTCACAGCGTGGTCTTGCAAAACGATACCATGTATCACAACCATACATATGCAAAATTATTCACATAAAAACTTCGTTATCTTAAAAAAACTAAAACACCTAAAAGAGCACTAACTCAAAAAGCAGCTGTTTGTTAAAAGTGCCATAGATTGGTTTCGATTTTTAGGAAAAAAGTATTTATTATTGACAATGAATTGTATTTTTATTTGAGCAACACCAATATTTCCGGAAATGCTGGATTCTATTCTTGACATAAATATGGCATCAAATGATGTAAAGTTAATAGGAAAAGACAAATTTGAGCCAAAATTACTTGTTTGGATTGCATTCTCGACAAAAGGAATCTCTCAGTAGTACATTGCTCCGTCAGGCCAAGCAGTCAATGAAGATGTGTATATTTCAAAATGTCTTCTTAGATTAGAGAAATTCATTGAAAAACATCATAAAAATGACAATATTGTCTTTTGGCCTGATCTAGCTTTGTCACATTATTCGCGTAAAGTACAAGGTTATCTAAAAGCTAAAAATATTGAATTTGTACTGAAAAAGCATAAATCTGCTAATGTGCCAGAATTACGTTCGATGGGAGATTTTTGGTCTGAATTTAAGAGATTAGTGTATAATAAAAACTGGCAAGCTGAAAACCTTGGTAAACTTAAAAAGCGGATCTAGTTTTCAATTAAGAAAATCAACATACAACATGTACATCTGCTAGCTACCAAAACATTTACAAGGCTAGACACTGTTCATTGTCATGGCATGAAAAACTTAAAATTTTTTTATATTTTATTAACTAGACATTTTTTGTTATTATACTTTTTAAATTATTGAAATTGATCATTCCGTTAAAAAATTATACAACTTCTAATTTTGTCCAGATTTTTTAGTTATCACATGTTATTTATTATTTTATCATTTAATGCATCAAATAAAAATAAAAAATCCAGGAAAATTGGGGGGGGGGAGAGAAAGCAGAGTTGTTCAGAGGCCCCTGGCCCTCCCTTGGCCTATGAATATAAACGTCCTAAACTAGTCAATAAATAACACTGTTTGATGTTTTATTCAAACAAATGTTTTAAAAAACATTTGAATTGCTTTCGTTACAAAATTTAAATTTTTCTAAAAAGACAAAGATTTTTAAATGCAAATTTTGATCAAGTATTAGAGAGACAATTGATAAATCTAATTTTTTTCAGTAGACATAAGATAAAATAATGATATACAATTAAACTTTTTATTCGGGATTTTGGGCCACAGTCTTCATTTTACCTCCAAATATTATGAATTTACAAGTCAATAATTTTGAACAAAATTGGATAAACAAGGCATTTCCTGAGATAATCAAGTCTTGAGGGTGCTCTTTTTGGATTCCGCAAGTAAAAATCTAATGGGGTACTAAATTTTAGTAAATATCCCCAAGCCATTATGAAGATACTATATGTCAAAGTTGCTTTGTAGTTGCTTCAGATAGTTACTAAAATGCTGAGTCAGCCTTTATTTTAACTGACAATATCTCTGGAACCCATGTGCATTTTTTAACTAAAATTTTCGCAGTTATTATTTTTTAAATATGGACTGAAAGTGAGGTAAAAATGAACAAATTCTAAGACATAAGGGTGTCGAAAATGTGTTTTTTTTTTAATGATTTCTTATGGAATTACCCTATGCTTATTTAGCTTTAAAAATATTAACACCAAAATATGTGTTTTATTTGCATGTCTATATTGTCTTACTGTTTTTTAATGATTGAAATCCCATAAGCTAAGATAAAAGTTTATTTACCTACTTCAAATGTTACTTGCCTTCTAAGACACATAGTCTAATCTAAGAAACTTGTTTATAATAAAAAATTATCTTTCAACCTTATGACTTGACTGTATTTCAAGAAACTTTTAAATTATTATATCTTCCACAGGTATTTTTTTCTATATAATTAGTTTATGTAAAAAATTATCTTGTTATTTCTTAATTAATATTTATTATAAGGTATTAAGGTAGTAAAAAAATATATCTTATTATTTCTTAAGTAATAGACCTATATGGTTAGACTATTTTTTTGATTTTCTGAAACAATTTTCAGAAAAATTAGATAAGGTTAAAATAATTTGTTTTAATAATTTAGAATGGAATACGTTGTTATCGTGTTAAATGGTTAGATAGTTGGCTTACAGAACAGCATGTTAGTGCTTCCTTTCCGCATCTTGTGACCGAGTATTGGCTTAATAAACCTATTAATGGAAATGTTGATTATCAAACTTATTTAAGTAGTGTTAGCAGAGCAATGTCAACCTCAAACCCTGTTTCATCCACAAAACCAAGGCCAAAGTATATTGTTTCAGGAGATTTAGTAATGTCTATTGGCGAAGAACATACTTCTAGTTTAGGAATTGCTTTACAACATCCACCAGATTCCAACCAGCTTAATATGTCCAACTCAACCAGCCATGATCCTATTTATTTAAATAAGGTTCCAACAGATAATAGTGCAACAAATAAAGACACTACTGATTTCTCTGTTGTTGCTGAATCTCTGAAGTTACCAGAAAAGCTTTCAATGGATTGTGTTGATAATATGGATAATATATCAAAAACTGAATCGGAGAAGCAAGTAGAGACATCTCAAGCAAAGCAGCAAGATATTGTTTACTATCTTCAAAAAAATACTTATTCTCCTCAAGACTCTAGCAAAGTTGCAGTTAAAGTAGCACCACCAGTAACTTCAGTTGTTTACAGTTCATTTGACAACAACTTTCAACGTTTTATTGGAACATCAGGCCACAACCCTATTCAGTTTGCATCAATTGACCAGATAAATACTTTACAACAGCAAATACAGGAACATATGCAACATGATGTGCATGGAAATAAATATGTTCAAAAATCAGTAAAAAAAGTCAAAGCTACTCCGCCAAAAGAAAAAAGACCTGTTCCATGTGACATATGCGGGAAAATGATATCATCTAGGAAAAATCTTCGTGTCCATAAAACTGTTAAACACTTTAAAAATGGTAGCTTTGCATGTGAAATTTGTGGAAGAAAGTTTGCTCTGAATCGTGATCTTAAGAGACATATGCCTTTGCACACAAATGAGCGTAACTATGTATGTCCACATTGCGGACTCCAATGTAAGCAGCCTGGACATCTTACAAAACATGTTCGCACTCATACTGAAGTAATGAATTGGAGATGTGATTGTTGTTTTAAAAATTTTAAAGTACAAGCAGAACTTAAAGAGCATTGTTTTTCAGAACATAACAACATAAAAGATGCCAATCTTACTTGTTCTGTGTGTAAGGAAAAATTAAAACTTCCAAACTCCGTATACTTGCATAGTTTACGACACTCTGGTGTTCGCGAGTTTCACTGCCCTATTTGTAAAGCAAGCTTCAAACTGAAGCAACACATGCAGGTAAGGCCATTAATAATATCATGTTTTACAATACAAATATAAAAGTAATGAAAATTAATATATAATAATAAAGAGTAATGAAAATTAATATACAATAATAGAGAATAATGAAAATTAATATATAATAATAATAAAGAATAATGAAAATTAATATATAATAATAAAAAATAAAGAAAATTAATATATAATAATAAAGAATATTGAAAATTAATATATAATAATAGAGAATAATGAAAATTAATATATGATAATAGAGAATATTGAAAATTAATATATAATAATAAAGAATAGAAAAATTATTATATAATATTAAAGAATATTGAAAATTAATATATAATAATAAAGAATAATGAAAATTAATATATAATAATAAAGAATAGTCAAAATAAAATCAAAATATATATAAAAAGAAAAAATATTATATTAATTTATGTAATTTTTTAATATATATTTAAATAATAAAATAGGCAATATATATATATATATATATATATATAAATATTTTTAATACATTTGGTTCAAAAACAAGTTCAAAAAATATTAAAAAGTTAACAATAACAAATAATTATGTTGTAATATTCGTTTAATTAATTTTAATTTAATAGTATTATTAGTTTAATTAGTTTTAATTAAAATAGTATTCAAATATTTTCTTATCAATTGTTTATTTAATTGTATTAACTGGATTTTGCATTTGATTTGTGATATTTTTTTATTCAAGGTTCATATGAAAACTCATGATAGAACAATTGAAAAAAAAAAATACGAATGTACAATATGCAGAAAATGCTTTCGACAGGAACGTTTTCTTGAAAATCATTTGTCAAAACATACTGAGAAAACAGCTGCAGAATGGGAGGAAAGAGAGCGGTGTAAAACGGAATCAAGAGTTGAGGCTGATATGAAAAGAAAAGTTTCAGAAGGTGATTTTGAACATTATAAAAACACTGCCAAAAGAAAACAAAAAAATCCTGAAAAATTATTACTTGATAATATAGTTGAATCGAACAACAAGATACTCAAAGATAATGATAACAAAGACGAACCCAGCGTAAAGTTTAAGATTCGGGAAAAAAAATTTTCTTGTAGGCATTGTGGTGAAATATTTCGTTTAAAATCGTTATTAAAGTGGCATTTAAAAATTCATGAGGGCCTAGCCGATAGTATTACTTGTGAATATGATTGTAATCCATCAAATAAAGAGACAAAGGAGAGCTATATTTCTCATACAAATTCATCTGACAACATAGATACTTTAAATACGCATACTGTTGAAGACAGTTTACATACAGTCGGTTCTTTAAATTTTTCATCTGAATTGAGTGAAAAAGACTCTCTAAAGTTTGATAGAAATAATACGATAGAAAACCATCAAAATGATACTGCAGATTTTACAATCATTACACCTATTGACAGTAAAATTCTAGGCGATATTGTTACATCTCTCAAAAATGATATATCTTCTAGTAGTTTACTTGATTCTATAAAAAATTTTGTTCCTTAAAACAAAAATTTATTTTCTTATAAAAAATTATATTTTAAAATTTTTATTATTAAAAAATTATTTTTTATGGCTTCGTTTTTGTTTTGTTTTTTTATCGCATTTACCCATTTGCATTTAAATTTTATGAGTGTAACGCCAACAAGCATATTTCGGCTGTTTTTTTACCCCAATTTCCTTTATTATTTTTTTTATTTGCAACTATAATTAAATTTTGGTACAAGCGTAAAATCTAACGTGGTTTTAAATTCTCGCTTTAAAAATGTCTAAATTTATATAGATAAATTTATATAGATATTTTGTTTTGAAATGATGTATAATTCAATAGTTTAGTATAATAGTATTTATATATTATATAACTTTATTATTTTGTTCAGATCAGAGTAGGGATTTTTTGAGCAAAAGTACCGGGTTCTAATTACAAAGTCTATTTTGTTTTTATTTAAATACCAGTACTACATGAATAAACAATAACTGCAATTTAAAAAAAAAAAAAAAAAAACCGCTGTTTAAAAAATGTATTAAAAATTAATGCTTATCCGAAAGTTATTATTAGAAATGATTGCCTAAAAATATAAAGTTAACAAATTATTTTTAGAAATATTGAAAAAAAAATTATTTTTTTAAATGCTTTTAAGTTTTTAAAGTTCTTTTAACACTTATAAGGCCTGTTAAGTAACATATCTTGAAGATTGCGAAATTGGGTTTGGCGAAGGGTGCAAACGAAAAAAGGAATGCCCTAGCGTTTAATTTTTTTATAAAAGAAACATGGTTTTGGTTTAAAACTTATTTGTATTTTTAAAGTCAAAAAAAGAAAAAAACATAGATTAGTTTTTGGTGCTGATGAATCAAAAAAAAAAACAGATGTTAAGTAAATGCAAGACGATGATAAAAAAGCGCTTAAAGTTTTTGATGTACTTAAATTAGATATTGACAAGACACCTCATTATCTTTTTAAAATAATAAACCAGAACTAAAGTTGTTGAAATGACAAGTAAGCAATCAGCGCAAGAAGTAATTATAAAAGCCAGAAAGTCAAGTAGAATAAACGAATGTAAAAATAAATTTTATGTCAAGATTGATCTTACGTAAGCTTAAGGGAGAAACCCCCTCTAATTTTTAAATCAATTTTTAGAAAATAAAAATTTGTCAGATCAATAATAGCATATATATAAAAAAAATTAGAACAAAAAATTAAAAAAAAAAAAATGGTAACATGTTGCTATGGAAACCATAAAAAAATACCAAAAAACAGGTTTCATGCCGTCCAATATTGTAGACAAAGAACAAAACAACCCTAGTTGAAATTTTTATAAGGTTTTTATATAGAGTAAAAGAGTGTTTTAAGTTGAACAGAATTTTTTTTTATAAACTTAACTTCAGGTATTTTGAAGTCAAAGTTCAATATTCAATAATATGGTATTAAAACAGCAGGTGTAAAAAAAAACAAAAACTATTCTACTTAAAACCTCTAAACCATTAAATAAACATCCGCTGAAAATTTTAGAAACGGTTCTTGAATGGTTAGCGAGCATTGTTGGACGGCGTCTGAAATACTTCATACTGAGAAAAAAGCAAATTAACATTTTTTTAATTAAATAACACCAAAACATGTATAAAAAAAAAACAATCATTAACTTCTTTAAATTTAAAAAATAGTATTTAAAATACTCCTGGTTTATAGGTTATACTCTCTTTTATCAAAGTTATTGTCGTTCTTTAAGTTTTTTTTTTTGCTCTATTTAATTGTCGTCTCAACTTATTATTTTTTATTTATTCTATAATTAGATTGTTTTATTCTTTAATTGTTTATTTAATTGGAACCATTAACCATGAAAGCACCCGGTAACATGTTTAATTGTTCAAAAACTGAAGCTTTCATACCAATATTAAAGTTTGCTACGGCATTGTGCACACCAAATTTTCAGTCTAGTTTTTTTCCTCGAACATCAGTTCTTTGGAATTCTCTTCCTTTATCTTGCTTTCATGATTCATATAGTTTGCAATCTTTTAAGTCATCTGTCAATTGTTATCTTGCTCTACAATCTTCATCTTTTCTCTTCCAGTAACTTCCAACACTAATTAGTGGTTGCTTGCAGCCTTGTTGCAAGCGAGATGTTAAAAAATATATATATATATATATAATCCCACGTAAAAATATAAGATAATAAAACCACAATAATAACATAGCATAATAAAAATTGGTTTAACAAGTATAACTAAGTATAGCGTAGTGCTTCTAATACCGGTAGTACCGGTACCGGAATACCAGTATTACCGGACATTTTTAAGTACGAAATACCGGTATTGGTTTGGCTCAATACCGGTATTAAAAATATATGTAAAGGGCTTATGATATAGCAGGTGCTATCGCCCTCTTTACGTGAAACACTGAAGTAAATGAAATACTTAAAACTTTCAACAACGCTTCCGGTAGGAAAAAGATAGCTAGATGAGAAAAGACGTGTTTAAATTGTCTAAAACAAGTATTCTACGTACTTTATACTTAATATCTAGTTGCCAGCTCATTTCCCACTAGGTTTGGTAGGAAATGAGCTAGCAACTAGCCAGCGAACAGCTAGCGTTTAAGACGTATAAAATACGTAGAATACTTGTTTTAGATGATTTAAACACGTCTTTTGTCATCTAGCTATCTTTTTCTTACCGGAAGCGTTGTTTTATCGTGACTGGAAGTTTCAAGTATTCCATTTACTTTCGTGTTTTCATTAAATAATGAAGCACCAATTTAAAATATTATCATTACGTCACTCGCTTTAATGTAGAACGCATGTTTGAATTTTGCACTAACGTAAATATGAAAAGTTTCGGTAATGTAGAAAGTGGGGCGTTTAAGTAACTGTGATCAACAGTTGTGCATTAGGCATGGGATTCAACTAGGTATTCAAGATATTTTGTACAAAAAAATCGTCAATTTCTGCAAAAAAAACTTGAAAGTAATATGCAATAACAGAGAAAGTGACGAGGAAATACTGATGACACAAACATAACCAATAATGATGAAGACTTTTCCGGCGGGTTTCAAGTTGTAATGAGTGAAGAGAATGACTCTATTGAACTGACTGATGATTTGCAGCCGTTAATCAAAAAGTTGCGCACCGTTGTGAAATTTTTATTTCGCCGTTCTCCGACAAAAAATGATGAAAATTCAAAAACGCACGTTAGAAAAATTTGATAAAGATATTTCACTTATACTTGGATCCAAAACTAGCTGGGTTAGCTTGCACACAGTACTAAAAAATGCATTCACGAGTCACTTTTTGCCCTTGAGTCCAAATTTGAGGTAACTAGTAATGAGTCCGATGCAATATTAGCTGTTAACTTATGTCTTGCGCCAGTAAAACTGGCTGTGGAAACATTGTGCCAAAATCATGCAACTCTGTTGTGTGCCGATACAACATTTTCATGATAGATAACCTTTGAGAAATCGATTTAGCTGTAAAGTTATGTTGGTGCAACAATTCAATGAGCAATGTACTCTTTTTCCAGCATACAACATTTTTTGCACGAGGGACATCAACGTTACAAGAATTTGGATCTAGCTCTATCTTTTGAGCACCATAGCAAATTAGCCATTGTAAATACCATTACTCGACTGAAAGATCGGCTCAATCAGAAAGGGTATAGTCCTCTCCCTTTCACCAGCGTTTTTTCCGATAGTGATTCTGTGGACAACGCTGTAAACTTGTCATTGAAAAAAAAGCTTGACTTTGCAATTTTGAAAAATAAGAAATGTAACAACAAGGGAAAATTGAATGTTTCGAATAATTCATCAAAAATTATATGTATTGAAATAGGAATTTTTGAAGAAGGAGGAAATCGTTGTATATATTTGCAAAATTCCTACCATTACTTGAAAACTGTGAAACCAACAAAATTAGATGATCTTTTGAAGATGATGTTCTGAACGTCCTATGTTTTTTACGGGCACATTTTACAAAGCAGAAAAAAGCGAAAAATGAAAAAGTCAGTAGTTTTGATATAAAATAAATAAGCTGATTGAATCAATAAAATTTTTACTATTAACTTGAGATTTTATTTAGATTATGATAAATTTAAAAATAAAGTTTAATACCGGTATTATTCCGGTATTACCGGTATTGTAATTATTTAGTACCAATTTACCGGTATTGAAAAATGGTATCGGTATTGGAAGCACTAGTATAGCGTAAAATTAATAGTGTTTCTTATCATAAAAATTACCAGTATTTAAAAAAAAAATATAAAAGAATAAAAATAAGACAAGAAATCTTTTAGTACTTCAGATATATACATGTTGTTGTAAAGGAAAACTCGTAGAAGTCTATGAAGACTTATCATAAAGTACCTCGTTAAATGGTTAAATAAAGTCTATTTTATTTTTATATATAGTCAAAAGTGGTTAAACAATATACAGTCAGTAATACACATAAATATTTTAGTATAAATTTTAATGTTAAGTTTAATATATGTCGATATAATTGTTGGTATTAAGTATGAGGTGTTTTACTTTATTTTTTAAGTTGGCAGCATTATTTAATACTTTAAGTTCTATATTTTTGAATATGCATTTGTTATATAGGTACGGACCCCGGTAGGAAATAGAAAACCGTGAGAACTTTGTTGTTCTTTTGGGCAGTGTGAAGTTGCCTGTTGCTTTTGTCATATACCTATTAGAGTTTACTTGAAAGAAGTTATCTGACTGAAACTCAGAAGGATTTAAATCTGCCTTTTAAATCTGAAATAAATTATTGACTATTTTTTAAGTTCATTTACTGAACTTTTAGAACGTAATGCTTACAAATCAAAATCCAAAGATACAAAGGCCTCAAACCGTTATTCAATATGTGTAATAATGGTGACAAACACAAGTTTGCACTGGAATTGGAATTCTGTTTCTACTGCAAGATGGTGAAAATTGTCTTCTGCTTCATAAAGTGCCATCCTTTTTACTTTGCGCTTCCTCTTGATTGTATTGCCACTTTTAATTTCATTCTATCTGTCTATTTCTGCGGCATCTTTGATAATGATGTCCACCCCAAAGTTTTTCATATTTTGAATGGCTGCCTTCAATCCTTTCATTTTTTTTTTTTACTGCAGTTTCAATGGAAATGTTTTTATACTAAGACTATACTTGGCACAGTGGTAAGAACGCTTGCTTTAGAAGTAAGAGATCCAGGTTCAAAACAAACTCTAGACATATTTTCGCGTCACGGTAAGGATGGAGGCCTGAACTTCCTATTTAAATGCACTTCCACGGTGCTCTGTGACAAGACCGTTTGGTCTTCTTGGGGTACCTAAAAAAAATAAAAATTTATCTGCACAATGGTGTGATTGCTTTTTTTTGGCAAAACCACTTAATGTGACCGTTTTTTTTTAATGCGATGGTCAATGTTTTTATCAGTTTTTCCAATCTTGATGAATAACTTTAAAAAAAATTAAAGAAAGCTTGAACTTTTCTATAAAATGTAACCATGAGTGGGAAAACCTCAGCAGCACGGACACTAACAAGATTTAAAGTGTGAGCTACATATGGAACAAATCTTGCAGACTCACAGAGAGAATGGAAATCAGCCTGGACACTATTGTATTTTCCAAACATATTGGCTACATTATCGTAACATTCGTCACGGCAATTAGAAACCATTTAGGTTATTCTTCTTTAATTCTTCAGTAATTTCTGTTGCAAGACCTTCTTTGGTTTTTTGGTGAGACTTAAAAAAGTCCACAAAACTTTCCTCAATTGTGCAGGTTTCATCATTAATGAGGACATACCTAATTATTTGGGTCATTTGCTTCGAGTGGGACGCATCTGAAGTGCAGTCAGACAGAGCAGAATGGTATTTAGCTCCTGTGATGTTGACAAAATTTCATTTCTAACTTTTTACCAAAGTAACTTAATCAGCACATTTGTAAATTTGAAGAGAAAGAAGAAGACATTATGGTTTTCTTTGCTTTAACAGATGCAATGTGCTTAGCCACTATAGGATAATAATAGCTTATCAACTCAATAAAATTCAAACAAATTCCTTTGTTTTCTTTACCGATGACTTATATTGTGTCCCGAAGGACAAAATGGTTCTTGGCACAGAACAAATTTGCATCAACGATCAGTTTCAAGATGTCTCTCCACTTTTTTATCTCTCTATCGATAGCTCTCTGCAGATCAAAATCCATGATTTTTCCTTCTTCAAGACTTTTTTCGAGAGTTTACCAATTAGAATAGCATCTTTGGTGTTTATTGCTGTTTTCATGTTCAGGATTTTTTGGGTTTTTGGGAAAATTTATCTTTTTTCTTGCTCTGGTCTATGCTGAATCACTTTTGTGATTCAGAATGAACCAGAGATTCAGCATGGGATCATATTTCTGAATGAAGTTCATTGTCGTCCATTTCAGCTTTGTCAGAAAGCTGGGAGTTTCCATCTTCTCTTTCTGTTTCTGAATCATTTGTGTAAATTTTTCTTGACTTTGACAGGTGAAAATCTCGATGAAGTTGAATAAAGTTCTCGATGAAGTTAAATAAAATTCACGATTAGCGTGAATGATTCTCAAAACATTCACAATTAGCGTTGTTGAATTAGAATGTTTTCGATGGTTTAACAAACTTTTTACTCGTCTAATAGACAATTTACGATGATTTTGCATTTAATCGATTTTTTTAGGTTTTTGATTTACAAAGATTCGAAACTCCAGTAGTATTTTCAGTGTATTGTAAAACAACTTAAAGTGCGCATGCGCTTATTTGTAGTGTAAGAATTTGATACGGCCTAGCTATCCTCAATTTGAATCAATATGGCGAACGAGGCTGTGTGAGTGTTTTCTCATGGAAATAAACGAAATCGAAAGCGTTTTAACATTGTCTAAGTTTATGTTGATAAAATATTTTCTTTAAAATGAAAAATTCCTCTGTGTTTGCTTCTTCCATCAAAGATATTACTTTAGTTAAAGAAGAATCTCAGAGCCAAACATTCAATAACCACGAGCCTGAAAATAAAAGTTATCATAGTGCTGTCGAGTTAGAAACATTAGCTGCTGAGAATCCTACTTGTTCTTCAAAAGTTGAAAGTTATGTTTCTGATATAAACGAAGAATTTAGAAATATTAACAATAGTGCAACATCCCCAATGACATTAAAACAATCTTTTCAAGTTGTATCAACAAACGAAAATCTTACTACTTTAACAGATTTAGATGGCGCTGTTTATGTTTTATTAAGAAGTGATGGTTGTTCTGTTAATAACTCTAACTCTGAACATTTAATAAACATAGACCCTTCTGAAGAAATTAAAGGTAGTCTTAATGTAAATAGTCCTTCTACATTAGATATCATAAATTCAGACGGTGTCCCATTAAGTTTAACTGTTAGTGAATTACTATCATCAATAAATACGACTAAATCTAGCAATGCTCTAAATCATCAAAGAAATAGTACTTATGTATCTGCTTATAGCAGATCAAACATGCTAAATTTATCATCTTCAATTTTATCAACTGCAGAAGTTGATGTTAATCTAAATAAGGGAGATAAATGCAGACAAGTTCATTTAAATGTGAAGAATGAAATTTTTGTAAATAAGTTGCCTAAATGGGCTGAACTATTGCAAGACTGTAAACTTATTGGAGATATGTATACAGGCTATGTTCTCAATGAACATGAAATGGATAATGTAGTTAACATGTACAAAAAAGAGACTCAAACTCTATTTTCAGTTCGACAAACTCCACCTCCTCCTAAAACAGAAACTAATGATACAATAAGGTTGATGTGGAAATCTCATTATGTTCCATTTGATGGAATACCATTTGTAAATATTGGTATAATAATTTTTTTTTAACTTTTTTTACTATATCTAGTTATAATTCATGTTAGGGTCATCAAAAAAACATATTTTAAACTTAATTTATTAGGTCGCAGAGCAACTGTTTATGAATGTGAACATGGTCCTAGAAAAAGAACTAGTATAGTTAAGCGAATTGTGCAAATGCATGATCAAAATAATTCAACCAAGAAAATTCCAACTTTTACATGTCCTGCGAGATTGTTTGTAAAAAAAGTTAGAAAATTCCCACAGTTTAAAGTTCCAGTTGATTCTGATCCTAAGCTGTTACGTCAGCTGCAAGAGCATTCTTTAAGGCATGTACGCCAATCTGGATTTGAAAGTGGAGAGACAAGGTTTAAAATTAGAAATTGGTTTAAAATAAAAGTTATATATATATATATATATATATATATATATATATATATATATATATATATATATATATATATATATATATATATATATATATATATATATATATATATATATATATATATATATGTATATATATATATATAAATATATATATATATATATATATATATATATATATATATATATATATATATATATATATATATATATATGTAAGTTTTACCTTTTTATTTCTAATATATTTAAAGCATATACAAGTTAAATGCCAGGTGTATTACAGACAACAAGCAGATACAAGTTATTTTATATATATAAAATATATATAATATATTTATTTATATATTATATATATATATATATATATATATATATATATATATATATATTTATATATATAATGAAAAACCTGGAACATGAAAGAGATGCACTTTTTTGACTTTAGCGTGTTTTTCTTTGACCTAAAACAGCAATTTTATATATTTTGAGTGCTTATAACAGCATTTCCATTATTATTATTCTTATTATTATTATTATTATATATATATATATATATATATATATATATATATATATATATATATATACATATATATATATATATATACATATATATATATATATATATATATACATATATATATATATATATTTATATTTATATATATATATAAATGTATATATATATATATATATATATATATATATATATATATATAAATATATATATATATATATATATATATATATATATATATATATATATATATATATATATATATATATATATATATATATATATATATATATATATATATATATATATATTCAAGTTGGGCACTATTTCTAAAAACTTTGGGGTTTCAAAATTATCCTTAATGCTTATCTCTTAAAACAAAAATAATTATTCTCTTAGAAAAGTCAAAAGTTGTTTATATTTAAAAAGTTCATTCTCAATATTTTAAAAGCTCATATAACAATTTTGCAATTTTAGTTCAATACTTTTTACCAAGGCATCAATTTACAACTGAAGTAATCAATAATCTGTACCAATAATCGATTTTAAAAATAAACTTACAAATTTTAACAATTACTGTTAAAATCTAATATAAATTGTTGTTAGATTTTTTTATAAGTTCCTTAAAAAAACAGCTTTAATTAATTTAAAAATCTAGTTTAGTGTAAAATTATAGTGTTCTAGAAACTCATAAAGTTAAACATGTTTAGAAATAAAATTAACTTAAAACTTAAAGAAATCATTCTTTTTAAATTAGATGAAAATTCTGCTCAAAATGTTAAACATTGCTGTGGAAACAATTTGTCCACACAAAATAGTATAATCAGGATTTTCACTTACTAACTTTATGATATTTTTTATCTTAATTTCTTTTTGTTTTGTTTTTAAATTTTATTTTTTACATTTTTTTTTGTCTATTACTAATATTTATATTGTTATTTTAATATAAAACAGAACAATATTTCTGTTGTCAATGCAGGTCTTATTGTTTGCCTGATAACAAAGATTTAATTAAATGACAAGTAAATGATCTAAATTGTTAGTTTGTGTGCATATTTTAGTTGATAATATTTATGTACATGAATTGAATTGGTATTTTTTAAAAGGGTATTTGCCCAAAAGGTTTTAAGCAAATCTGCCCAAGTATCTGAGTTTATTTTAGTTATTTTTTCTTTAACTATGTTGAGATAACATTGAGATAATAAAGTCTGGTGTAAATGCTTTTATTTTAATTGGTTAAAATTATTTCTCCAATTAAAATTGCTAAAATTCTCTCCTTTTTTTTTTCACTAACCAGCTTCAACTGAGTATACATATATGACATGCAATATTGATATTGAATTAAATGAATGTACTCAGCAAATATTTCTCATACTTTTTAGATTATATATGCACTTGCCTCTTACAACAAGTCATAGATATCATCATATTGGAAATGCAGTTGATACCTACCAACTGAGTATGCAACAAGAAAATGGTTTAGAATCTTTATCAGTTGATAGGCGTGTTTTAGAAATGTTGCAAATACTGGTTAGGCAAGGATTTAAAAACCCTTTTGTTGTGAGATCAGCATTAAAAGTAATCTTTTAAGTTTTGTTTGATGATTTGATTATTTTGTATGTTAATTTTTTGTTTGGTTAAGAAATTTTTTTTGTTATAATTGATTGTTAATTTATTTACAGTTTATTTATTTAACAGGACTTTGTTGAAAATAAAATGAAGCTTGAGTCTTCAGAAAACCAACCAGAACACCATGATAAATCATTTTATCCACCAATGATTGAAATTCAAAATCTGATTCAACAAACTGATATAGCTTTACAATCTGGTTTATTGTCTTACCTTCAACCGGTATTTATTTGTAAACCTAATTTTCCGATGCTTTAAGTCATAAAATCTAATTAGTGATATTGTATGTATGCTTTTTTGTCTTTTATCCAGCCAACCGGTTCACTCATAACTCCGAGTCGTAACAAAAAAAGAAGCAATCTATCTAATGAATCATCATTCAAAAAAGTAAAAGTAGAAAGAGATTCTGATAATTGTAAAGCTGAAACTAAAGCTTGTAAGTTTAATTAATATTTAATTTGTTTGATTGTTTTTTGGTTCTCTCTCTCTTTATATATATATATATATATATATATATATATATATATATATATATATATATATATATATATATATATATATATATATATATATATATATATATATATATATATATATATATATATATATATATATATATATATATGTAATTTATGTGATACAAAATTATGATTATTATCAGTCAATTATTATAAACAAATAGGAGTATAGAATACAAATGTGTTTCTCAAAATTTATTTATGTAAAATCAAAAATTCTTCATAAATTTTGTGAAATTAACCTTTTTTGTTTTGTTTTTTAATTTATTCTTTCATGAAAAAGGATACGATGAATTTCAAAGTATAATATTTAAAAACACTGTGTATTGTGTTAACTGGTGTTATATAAGAATAATTTTTAAATTAGCTGTTTCACAATTTTTTTTTTCCTTTTAATGCACAAAATAAAATGAAAATAATAGTTGGCAAGCGTTTTAATGTATTATTTAGAATCCATTATTTGATGTCTAGTAAAATATGTAGCTATTTATATACTTGTAAAAGAAATACTTCGATATGTTTATAATTCAGATAGAAATGTAGGTAATTCAGAATATAATTCAGAAGAAAATGGTACGTGTGAGGAAAGCAATGAATCGAGTTTGCAAGTCAGTCAGGTCTTGATAATAAGTTGGTTCAACAATCACATTTAAAAAACTAAGACCTTAAATAATAATTTTTTTTTTTTGTCCACTTTGTTTTTTGAACAAATTTTTTTACAACTTTTTAAATTTGTTTGGTTTTACCTCTTTAACAAATTTTCAATTTTTTTAATGTGTTATATTTTTAAAAAATGTTTAAAAAGTTAAACTTTTTATTTTTTATTTTCAGCAATTACTGGAACATCTGAAACACTATCTTTAACATTGACTGATAACCAGCTAGAAAACTTTTCAGTTGCTAACCTTTCTTATGAGCAACTTGCACAACTAGCTAAAATCGGTCTTTTAGTACTAAATAATGCTGCAAAAGAATCTCATTATGTTGAATCTTCCGAATGCAATGATGTTTTAGAAAGTTCAAATTTAAGAGATGACTCCGAAGTTACCAAAGTAAAGTGAATATACATTCGTTTATACTTTCCTTTATACTGAGAAGCTTTTTTACGTATCACCCTACAACGTTAGGATTCGTATTTATTTTTTTATTCATTTTGTTTTGAAACAAAATTATCGTTTTGTGCTGAACCGTTTTGAAACATTTATCGTTTTGTGCTGGGCCATTTTTAAAACAAGATACCGTTTTGTGCTGGGCCCGTATAACTAGAGTGTTAAAAAAAAAAAGTAGATATAAAGTATATTTTTCACACTTAAGCAATGATACCAGCTTTACGTAAGAATCTACGCGCTTTTTCAAAATTGCTCCAAAATTTTAAAATCCCCTCAAAGAAAAAGTGTTACACTAGTCAAAGAGTTTCTATTTTGGTTGATCGAAAGTTACATTAAAAAATATTTTAATATCGTTTAATGATTTTTATATTATATTATTAATTTTATGGTAACTTTTGGTTTATAAAAATATGTTATTAAGATTGATATAATGGTATATTAATTATATTTTAAGTTACTATTTCAGTCGTTTATTAGACTTATCTCGCATTTCAAAATCGTTATGCTTTGAGATGTATCGTTATACAATGATAGATACAATTATGGACAATGATAGAATGGAAATATTTTTTACATTTATAATCGCCCGAGTAAATTACATCAGCTCTAAATATTACGTCATTGGAAGCTGAATACGGTTTTAGATTAAAATCAGCTGTTGCAGGAAAATAGAGTTTAAAAGGGTATTAATATCTTTTTTTTCTTCGCCAAATAACATTTACGATACAATTTTTTGTAATTTACAAATTTACTACTTATGTTTAAATTATCCATTAAAAAATGAATAAAATTATAATTAATTTATTAACAAATTCGTAAATAACAAATACAAATCAACAAAGTTTAACAAAATAGCAGTAAAAAAAGTTATCAGATAATAGAAAAATCTTTCCCATTGAAAATATAACTCCTTCAACTTTAAATGTAGAAATACTTTTGAATGTAAGTTAATTTAATAAAAACGTCAGAAGTAGGTAAGGTCGTTTCGAATTTTGTTTTTTTCGAATTTGTTCGGCAAATAGAAGCGTTGTTATTATTACGTAATTTATAATTGTTCTTTCATTTGAACCAATGATCAAACTTTGAATTTTTAATTGCTTTAAATTAAGTACTTGTATAAAGATAAAGTTGTTTTAACAAGAAAATTATTTATCTATCAATAATATTAAAACTAAATCTTTGTCAGTTTATGGCTTAATATCAGTAATAATCTTATAATATATTACATACTCAATATTGTTTGTCAATCTTATAAAAAAATAATCCCAGTTTATCTTCATACGATTGTGTCAATTGCCATAATTTAGTATTTTTTTAGCTTATACAAAATAAATGCATCGGATTTAAACATGGTTAATGCATCGGGTTTAGCAACTCTAGTGGAGTTACTATTAATGTAATGCTTCCAAACAAAGTTTTTATTGATTTCGTATGATTACATTGTCAATGTAGATTTAAAGTAATATGTAATAAATTCTATTTTTTTCCAGAGCGTATAAAGAAAGTGTTCATTTATCAATGTTGAGAGATTTATTTTAAACCTGTCCGAAATTTTTTTAAATTTATCTGTCTTGTCATCTGCAAAAATTAAAGAAACTTGTCATCTGCAAAAATTAGTTTTGTTAAATTCGAAGTTTTATGAAGATCATTTATATATTAAAAAAAAAAAAAATTAACCTAAGTATGGAAACTTGTAAAACACCTCAAGTTATATTCATTAATACTTGAAACAAGGGTTTTCTCTTATAAACATTATTTGCAATGTGTTGTGATATGTGATAAGACCGTTAGGTCTTTTTTAGCCATTTAAAACAAGCATTAAAAAAAAACGTTCGTATGAACCTTTGTCTTAAAGATATAAGTTCTTTAAGCTGTTTTACAACATTCTAAAAATAATTCTTGAGTGATGGTCATCACTCAACACTAAAAATCTATTACACCTTCCTAATGTTTTTATCTGAAGAAGGTAGAGAAGCAATTGTTTTACCTTTTTTACTTGAATCAGAATAATAACTTTAATTAACATCAAAATTATTCAAATCTTCTATATATACAGGAATATTATTATTGATTACGATATGTTATCTATTGGGGCATACTTATTAACATTGAAAAAAATATCTTGTTATCTTGTTTATTAGCACATTTGTTACACATTCTGCAGTCACCAGATATTGTATTTATATGTGTCATAACAGTTTATATTAGTTTTAGTATATTTACTAAATTATTTCAATAGTTCTATGCAGAAATAAGTTTTAGCAGTCTATTAAATAAATGCTTTAGTCAGTTAGAAGCAAAACCTTTCAACTATAGTAAAGTTTGTACATGCACGCAAATAGTCACTTGGTTTCAAAACATCAGTTTTTTTCCGCTCAACATTGATAAAATTGATAAGTCAAATTTGTTTATATGATGGTGCTTCTTGTTTATATGATGGTGCTTGTTAATACGTTTGTTTTAAAAAGCACCATTACATAAGCTTGAGCCTTTGTCATTTTAACAACCAAAATGCCACAACCGCCACAACCATCAAACTAACTGGGAATTCAAGTTCTTTTAAATTTCTTAAATTTTTTAAATTTTAGCTAATAGAATGCTCCCCTACACCCTCTATGGATCTGTTTGATGTTTTCATCAATAATATTGTAAACTGAAAAAAATATATAGTAATCATTACATTATTCAGTTTTTTTGGTGTAAAAATAAGATCTAAAAATAAAAACAAAAACTCGTCACAAGATTTTATCTAAAAACTTCATAAACCATTTATGATTTTTTTAAAAACATTTTTTAATTCAAAAAACTTTTCACATATTTGCCACAAACAAAAATGTAGAGTTGGTTTTATAATACATGCATATGTACTAAAAAAAAAGTAAACATTCCAAAATAACAGATAAACTTTATACATAAGTAACCATTCCAAAATATATAGATAAGTAACCATTCCAAAATATATAGATAAGTAACCATTCCAAAATATATAGATAAGTAACCATATTAAAATATATATATAAGTAACCATTCCAAAATAAATAGATAAGTAACCATTCCAAAATATATAGATAAGTACCCAGCCAGCATTATGGTGTGGGATCCGTACGGGATGTCAAATGGGAACCGTATGGGATTTAGACGCGGGATCTATATGGGTAACATAGGTGCAAAATAAAAAAGAAACGAAAAATTTATCGGCTGCTTTTTCTTGTTTTTCTTTTGACCCCAGAATTTTCCCGGGTATATTTTTTTATTTTTTACTATGTTTTTCTTAACTTAGATTTTTTCTACCTAAAATTAACAACAATTTGTTTAAAGCAATTTTTTTCGTTTTAAACAAATTAAAGGATTAGTTCAATTATAATAATTTTTATAAAAGTTTAAAAAGCTAAGTTTTTTATATGCAAATTGAAAACACAAGGACATATACATGTATGTTTTATTAAATGAAATAAATTGTTATTATATATGTAATCAATATATATCTACTAAACCAAGAAGATACTAAATCAAATCATGATATTTTATAGTAATATGTTGAAACTACCTAACGCCATACTTTTGAATAAAATATATTGCAAAAGAAAATTACTTTAGTAACATTTCTTTTGCAATTTATTTCAACTAACGGATGTTTAGGTGCTGCATAAAAAAACTATAAAGCACAACAAAATTTATCAAAAAAACTATTTGAAGAAGCACTTTCTGCATGGATTAGTAATGCTCGAGATAAAGGCAAAGACGGCCGAAAAGAACGAACTTTAAATGCAGCGTCAAACACAGAAAAGAACATATAGAATCTATATAATGCAGCAGCAAACATGTAAAGTAAAGACTACAGCAACGTACATTTATATATATATATATATATATATATATATATATATATATATATATATATATATATATATATATATATATATATATATATATATATATATATATATATATATATATATATATATATATATATATATATATAAATGTACGTTGCTGTAGTCTTTACTTAACATGTACACTACAACAACGTACATTTATATATATATATATATATATATATATATATATATATATATATATATATATATATATATATATATATATATATATATGTATATATATATGTATATACATATATATATATATATATATATATATATATATATATATATATATATATATATATATATATATATATATATATATATATATATATATATATATATATATATATATATATATATATATATATATATATATATATATATATATATATATATATATATATATATATATATATATATATATATATATATATATATGAAGACTCCACGGGAAGAAACGGCAGGGTCACATTTTTTCATTTTGCGATAACTCATTTTTAAACTTTTAAACCTATATTTTTTTTATTTTTAGGGAAAAGATTAAAATTTTTAAAATATATTACAAAAATAACCAATTTTTTATGCAATTAAAGTTGCATTTCTAATTTAAAAATAAAAATTTACGTGATAGACTTTCTTTTTTAAGTGAGGTTTTTTGTGGCCGGTTTTTCCCCGGTAAAATGTTTTATTTTATTAGTTTTTAGATCAAGTAAAAAGCTAAAATATGAATCATTTTTTATCAGCTTATAAATTAAATTAGGCAGAAGCTAATTTTATCAAACAACCTAACCACCAAGACCTAATATTGATCATTTAAAAGATTAGGGGGTTCAACTAAAATTAAAAATACTGTTTTGTGTTGATACTTTCGTTTAGAAAATAATTATAGTTTTCGTTAACAAAAGGTTTCATTTTTGTTCTTTTTTCGTGCACAAAAATATCACTTACAGTCAACTTTCAATATCTTTAATACTTGATATCTCAAACTTTTTTGAATCCAGTCGAACCCTTATTTATAGATTATACTCTCGATAACTCAAAAATTCTTTAATCTCAAACTAAATAATCGGTCCTTGCAGGTTTGAGATATCAAGAGTTGTGTGTAGATATTTTGTATAGAAAATGATTATAGTATTAGTTCTAGTTCTCGTTTACGAATGACTTTAATTTTTATTATAAATCTTTCATTCAAAAATATCACTGTTAATAAAAAAGTTCAATTTGTTTTTTATTTAAAGGTTAACCTATTAAATACCTATATAACTATACCTATATAGGTGTCACAAAACTGTAAGCAAAAAGTTATTTAATGCAAAGTTTCTTTCTTGATAATAAAGAGGATTTAAAACTTTATAGGTTTTCAAACAACTCAGAATTTATTTGATCTGAATTTTTATTTTCATACCCTGACTAATAGTCAAAAGATATATTCAATACCTTGGGATTATTAATTATATAAATTGTTGTATATTAAGTACAAAGAAGAAACATATTAAAGATTATAGATTTTTTTCAAAAAACACTAAGAAAAAAATAACTAAAAACAAGCTTTAAATCAAAAAAGAAGTCTATTTACTCTTCATTTTCAGAATCAATAATTTCATGAAATGTCTCAATAACCTCCTGATTGTATGGCAAAGAATCGTAAAACTGAGCATTCGATGTAAACCTTTTTAATACTTGTAAATCTCTGTACTTTGCCACAGAGATGCAAAGTTTTGCATTATACAGAATGGGGATCTCACTATTTATAATGTTCTTCCTATTATTTTTTAAATTAGTTTTCAACAATTATCCATTCCACAAATCACGATGAAATACAATGCCACTTGAGTCTCCTCTGAAACAAATTTCACGAAGAGGACGTGTTGGAATCGGACATTTATTCTTATAAAATGGTCTCATAAAATTAGTTATACTTTTAACCTTACCTTGCGTTAATTCTATAACATGAAACGGAGTCGGGTTTTTACGAGCATTTTTGAATGTTTTAATCCAATCTGATGGATCACTAGTGGATGTTTTGCAATTAATTAATCCCATATCTTTATCACATTCCATAAAAGAATGACCACGTTCTGGAAATCTAACTTTAATATAGTCGAACCTTTTTTTTTCATGTACAAGAAAATCCATAAAACGAATTAATGTATAGTTTTTGTTTTGGCCACCACATGAATCACAAAATAGCTCTACAGATCGAATTTCTTTGTCTAAATGTTTTATAAAAAAATCATATAACGTCGACGTTACCTCATCAGCTCCTTTTTTAGCTATAGTTTCATCATAACAATACAAATAAACTTCATTACTTGAAAGCACGTGAATATTAAATGAATAAAATTGGTAATTTTCGTTTGTAGTAAAAGTCGTTGATTTGGTAAGTTAAGATTTTTTTGGAAATCAAAAGCAATTGCCTTAAATTTGTACTCCCTTTGTGCTTTAAACTGAGCATTTCTTTTCCTGACATTAAATGTTTTTGCATCTTTGTGGTGCTGTTTTTTCAGTAACTCAAGCTCATGCAATTGTTGTTCAGGCTTTGTACATTCTGAATTAAAAAATAGTTCAATTTTTATTGCATCAATTTTAATTTTAAACTCATCACATTTTGAACATGTGTCAGTCCTAGGGTACCCAAAAGAAACGTTAAAACTAGTGTTAAATATGTTGCGATAAGATTCATATGACAATTTATCATTTGCAGACTTGATTTTAAACAAGTCATACATCTTGGTTATATTTAATTCTTGAGGAAGATATAGTCGCCTAGTTTTTTTTTTGAGAGTAGTGGGACTCTCTACCTCTGAAAGAAGAAATGTGATCACATATTTTATTTTTTAGTTGAGGAGTAAAATTTTTATACTGTTTCTTGTGTTTACCTCTTTTATCATGGGGAGAGTGACCTATAATAGGTATGTGGATTGAAAATTTTAAATTGATCAAAGGTTAGATTGTTATATATCATTAGAAAGTGCTTCAATACAGTATTTCAAAGGTGAAAAAATTATTAAAATCGGACTATTGTACAAAAAGTTATGACGTTTTTAGTCGCAAATTTTTGATATATGGATTTGTTGAAGAAACTGTGGTCAAAATTTAATTTTTCTTTACTTAAATTGTTATAACTTTGTCAATTCTTGTCTAAATACCTATAACTTAGTATCAAAAGATAGGTGTAACTGTGGGCTACAAATTTATAACATCGTCCACCTATTAGGCGTTTCCTGGGGGCTAGAGGGGGTGCCGAACCACCACCTTTACCCTAAAAATAAGCATATTTCTTTCAATAAAAAGTGTTTTTTTTCAACTAACGGTTATTTTTTTTATACAAAAAATTGCTATAATTTTATTCCAGACCATCAATGATTGATGTTTATTAAAGTTGGTGGTGGATATGGTGGTGATGGTTTAACACACCCTAATTTCAAAAATATTTAATTCTCTAATTATAAATAAATAAATATTTCTACATTTAATAAAATAAGTGAAACTAGTATACAGTATAAAAAACATAAAAATTTTTTTTGCTACAAGAAATTCATTTATTGGTGGTGTGCTTATTGACTTGTGGGAGGGGCGTGTGCCCCCCCCCAACCAAAAAAAAAAAATAAGTAAAATAAATAAATCTTTATAATAACAATTATAATTATTTTAAAATAAGTTAACAATTTAAAACCTGAATTAGGCTTTTTGCACCAAGTATAACCTACAAGCTAAAGATAAAGACCACAACTGAGCCTACTTTTGAAAAAAAAGTCTTTCCGCTGCTATTCGTAAATTTTGGTTAAGTTGAGAAGTTTGTTAAATAGGGTGGTAATGGTTACCCACAACCTACAATAAAAAGATGTTGAATTCTTAAAAATAAATCAAAATATTTTGCAAGTCACAACACTTGTGCAAAGGTCATTCCAAGTCAAATACTTTTATTCTTCTCTAAAAACATTTATAAAAAAAAGTAAAACAAAAACATATGGTTTAATACCAGGCATACCTGACTTGATATGACTACTTCTTCAAGTTATATTACTTACAATACCTTTATACAAGTTTCATCATATGCCGTATCTGTTTTGTAAGTTTTATCACTTGCAGTATCTATTTTTAAAGCTTCATTACAAGTAATATCATAAGTTGTTACATATTACACTTCAAAAAAAAATCAACTCTCCTAGTCCAACATCAGCGGAAGCTGATATTTTTTCATGTTGTAGTCAACAGCTTCAGTATCAGTTTTACCTTAATTCCAGTAAGAAATTGTGCAAACTTTGTTTTGTTTTGTTTTATCAAGTTTTTCTTCTCTACCATCATACATGACATACTTCGAATACTTACTATTGTACCATTCATGGCAAAGTTTTTGCCCAACAATTCTATCTGACATTACATTATCTTAGTCATGACGTTGTTTGATAGACAATGTATTTAAACACTTTATTTCATTGTAAAAGAGTTCAAGCAACTGTTATTTTAACTTTTTTTTGTCTTTTTCATCCATTTTTTGGCATTTGCATACATGTTTTTTGAAATATCTGCTCATATATCATTATGCTTCATTTGATTTATCATCTCTTTTTATGGGTTTCTGAATAGATCACATAACTATATTTTTATGGGTTTCTGAATAGACCACATAACTATATTTTTATGGGTTTCTGAATAGACCACATAACTATATTTTTATGGGTTTCTGAATCGACCACATAACTACATTTTTATGGGTTTCTGAATCGACCACATAACTACATTTTTATGGGTTTCTGAATCGACCACATAACTACATTTTTATGGGTTTCTGAATCGACCACATAACTACATTTTTATGGGTTTCTGAATCGACCACATAACTATATTTTCTCTAGATAATTGATCTAAACTTTCTAGGTAATTTAATTTATATGAAACATAACAAACTGTTGCATTAGGTGATCTTTCTTCAGCCTCACTAAACATTCCCATTAACTTTTCACTATTTATATTGTGCTGCCTTGCACATGCTACTTCCTCCTTGAGAGTCTGGTTAATAGAAAGTGAGAAATATCTCTTACATTGATGAGTTATGACGTCTCCTACTGCAATAAGACAAGCAAAAGTCATATTAATAAAGTGTTCATCAATCAAACAAAACATTTTTTATTGGATCTAAAATATTTGGTTCAAGGTCATTTTAAAAAGTGAACCTGGATTTGATTTAGAATCTGCAATTTTTAGTAAAATATTTTTTAATACCAGGATTCCACTATAATGGTCAAAATTTGCCTCCTCAACAGTCACACACAATTTTGTCATCCAGGCTGGAAACTGGATGACAAAGTTTTATGTGACTTTGAGGAGGTGGTTTTCCAAATAATGCAAGCACACATTTTTGCTTTAGAGCTGTTTTGTTACAAAATACTGCTCTAAGAACTTTTTGTATAGTTATGCATATTACTGTTCCAATGGTTAAAAAATGCTCAAACTCATTAAATGTTTTATAAAAATAAAACAAGTATGAAAATAAATATGAAGACGATTTCCTCGATACCTTGGAATGATACCTTGTGGTAGTTTTTGATCATCTAAAAACTAACAAATCTTTTTGAATCACCTTTGCCATGTTTAAACCTCAACTTGTTCATAGCCAAAACTATTTTAAATGCCATACAATCATATCCAGCCATGAGGTAGCAATTATATCAAGAGCGTGTAAATGGCAGTTTAGCTCATTCAAACTTTCCCCTTAAATGTCACACAGTTTGCTTATGGTAAGATGGTTAATTGCAACTTTGGCTGACATTGCGTTTGATATATTTGAGATGATTGATTGATCACTATCATTAAAAGATGCTAAATGAAAATCTAAATAAAAGTTAGATGATCAACTGCTTTACATATATGCAAGCAAATATTCGTAACTAGCTATAAGCATTTTATTTGCCTTAATATTATGTACAACTTTAACTTATTTTAGCTTTTAAAGTTCTGAAATTTTCATTGCTTTTTTTTAAGCTTTAAGATTGCATATTATCTTACTGTAATAATATGTTTGCAAATTTTGTTTAAGATCTCTAAGTTCAGCTCTTAAAACTTTAACAATTTGTTTCTTTTATGTAATTTTTGTCTCAGTACTTTCAATTTGTATGCCATGCTTTTTAATTTTGCCGTCACTATTACTAATTTATTTCAATACTTGCTGGATGTAACAGCAAGCTAAGAAGTTAAATAGGACAATCTGGTATTCAAACCTTTTTTTTCTAGGGCTTATTTCTCCTCTTGATTCATGCCTTTTTATTGTTAACAGAATGTTTGGAAAATAAAGGCTTGTGATTTAGTGGTGATAAATTACTTATGTGCTTAAGTGGTGAATTATCTAAACTACTTAAAACAGTAGTAAGATAACTACTTGGAGGGACATGATGATAGAAAGATGGGCAAGATTTGTGCAATGCATATACAGGGTTCATTACAAAATTCCTTAAAACGACAACTATCCCTTGTAAAGTTGCAAAACCAACTTTTGCATCTTTTCAAAACCCTAAAGAAATGTGGTTTACAAATGTTTAAACTAAATAATAGTTATAACAAATGACTTGACACTGTTAATGAATAAAAAAGATACATATCTATTTTTACAACAACTGCAAGTTTTGGCAGATAAAAAGAAGTGTGTATTTAAATACTCTTTAACTGTACTAAGAACAAAAATTAAAGTTGCTTATTGTGCCTATTGCCGGGGCACAAAAAGCAACTTTATTTACAAAAAAAAATGTAAAGAAAGTCTTGAATAACTACCGAATAATGATATAACATTAAATTATAAACAATATTATACTTTTATTATTAAAAACATTTATAATAATACTGTATTATTGCGTAATTAAAAAATACTATTTATACACACAGACAAAAATGCCAATGTATACTGACATCATAAAACATGTGATAATATAAAGAGTTTTTAAAATACCATCATACCTATAGCTAGAATTATAGTAATCAACGCTTATGTTTTCAATTTCAATGAAACCAATAAAATTTTAGAAACTATAAACAAGTCACACTAAAATAAATAGTAATTTTCACTTTTAAAATAAAATAAACTAGTAAAAATATACAAACTAATATTAATTAATATAAAAAATCTAATAAACTACTGAAAAAATAAGAAAAAGAAAAAAACATCTTATTGGCAGTCTATATCTAATTGTATTAATATATATATATATATATATATATATATATATATATATATATATATATATATATATATATATATATATATATATATATATATATATATAATATTATTATTATTATTATTATTATTATTATTATTATATATATATATATATAATTATATATATATATATATATATTATTATATATGAAATATATATATATATATATTTTTTTTGCAGTAATTTATTAGATTTTTTATATTAATTAATATTATTTTGTATATTTTTACTAATTTATTTTATTTAAAAAAAAAACTTATATATATCTATATATATATCTATATATATATATATATATATATATATATATATATATATATATATATATATATATATATATATATACATGTATATATATATATATATATATATATATATATATATATATATATATATACATATATACATATATATATTATATATATATATATATATATATATACATGTATATATATATATATACATATATACATATATATATATATATATATATATATATATATATATATATTATATATATATATATATATAGTATATATATATATATGTATATAATATATATATATATATATATATATATATATATATATATATATATATATATATATATATATATATATATATATATATATATATATATATATATATATTATACATATAACATAAATAATTACTAAACTAACCAAATAAAATTCAACTTGTTTGTACCCCTCTTACCACCCACTTACGGAAATCAGAAAAACAGAAATGAGGTACCAAAACTGCTCACTTTTATAGACTATCTGCTCAATAATATTATTCAATGAAATTTGGTAGGTAGATAAAAAATATATGTAAAAAACTATCTGGGTAGGTTTGCAAACTATCTGAGCATTTCTTTGACAATAATTTAATGTGAGAACAACAACCAAGTTTTTAATACAAATAAAAGCAATACAAAAATTACCAACCACACATAAATGTTATATATTAATCAAGTTTAACTATTCTTTTTTTCAAAAATAATCTAAGTTTAGTAATGTTTCTAAACAGAAACGCCACAAAAAAACGTTCGCCTGACGTTACCTAAAAAAAAGTTTAAAAAACCTAGCACAAAATTTTAGTACAAAATTCGGTTCCGTAAAACACGGATTTCCGCGTACCTACCTATAATGAGAAAAAAAAAATTTATATATAAAAAAATTTATATATAAGATAACTTCCACTAAAAATAGTCATTTTGCATTCAATGAAAATATATAATTTACCTGTAGTTAAAAAGCTTCTTTTAATGGTCTCCAATCTTCCCTTCTTTATGCCAAAGATTGAAATAAACGCAGAAAAGCAAACATAAACAAACGAACTCGCAAATATCTCGTGATTTGTAATAAAAAGTTTATATGTGTAACTGCTATTATAACCTTTTGAATTAATTTTTCGTGGTCTTCTTCTTGAAACGTTATTTAAAGTTATTAAACTTGCAAGATACGAATCTTGAGAATCCTTGCTGGATAGAGAATTAAAATATCTTATTAACACTTTTCTATCTTCTTCTTTAACATTATCAAAACATTTCAGCCTTATACAGTTACATCCAAGCCCTGTTTTATGCGATAATAATCTTTGTTTCTTTATAATTTCACGCAATCTTTCCTTACTTTTTATTTTCTTGATTTCTTTAGCATTTCTATTGGTATTTCAAGTGTCGCCATTTTTATTATTTAATTTACATTAACCAAATCACCTGTGATTATTTTGAAAAACAAAGACTTATAGCCGTAAGTATGAGTCTTGATAATTCAAAAAATAAAAATGGTAAACTTCGTTTATGTCTATTAGTAAGTTGCGAATATTTTTTAAATTCAAAAACACTTGTCTTTTCGGGGAGGTATGTATTGTATAATAAAAAAAAGTGATTAAGTTCCATCCATCAAACTATAAAGGTACATCCAATTGTTTTTTTGATTTGAATTCAAATAAAATGTATAATAATATTGTTTATAAAGTTAAAAAGTGTAAAATGTCAAAATTTTCAAAATGTGATCCTGCCGTTTCTTCCCGTGGAGTCTTCATATATATATATATATATATATATATATATATATATATATATATATATATATATATATATATATATATATATATATATATATATATATATATATATATATATATATATATATATATATATATATATATATATATATATATATATATATATATATATATATATATATATATATATATATATATATATATATATATATATATATATATATACATATATATATATATATATATATATATATATATATATATATATACATATATATATATATATATATATATACATATATATATATATATATATATATATATATATATATATATATATATATATATATATATATATATATATATATATATATATATATATACAAGGCCGGCGCGATAGGGGGGTGTGACACCCCCTCCCCCCATCAATGATTTTTAGTCGGCAAACTGGACCCTTAGTCGGCAAATCGGACCTTTTTATACTAGTTAGTCGGCAAATGTCGACCCTTTCGATATAGGTTAGACAGTCGGCAAATGTCGTAATGACAGTCGGCAAATTTTGGAAAACGAGGACCTTTTTTTTTTTTTTTCTTGTCGGCAAAAGTCGTAATGGCACCCCCCCACGTGACACCTACTCGCGCCGGCCCTGTATGTATATATATATATATATATATATATATATATATATATATATATATATATATATATATATATATATATATATATATATATATATATATATATATATATATATTGATTACATATATAATAATAGTTTATTTTACTTAATAAAACGTACATGTATATGTCCTTGAGTTTTCAATTTGCATATAAAACATTTAGCTTTTAAAACTTTTATAAAAAATTATCATTATTAAATTAATCATTTAATTTTATTAAAATGAAAAAAATTGTTTTAAACAAATTGTCGTTTATTTAAGGTATAAAAAATCTAAGTTATACATAGCAAAAAATAAAAAAAATTAACCGGGAAAATTCTGGAGTCGATAGGAGAAAAAAAGAAAAAGCAGTCAAAAAATTTTTCGTTTTTTTTTTTATTTGGCCCGTATGGTACCCATATAGATCCCGCGGCCTAATTCCGTACGATTCCTATTTGATATCCCGTACGGGATCCACGCGGCACCCGCAATCACAATGCTGACTGGCTAACCACTTCAAAATATATAGATAAGAAACCGTTCCAAAATAAAAAAACTTAATGGTATAGGTAAGTCCAAAATATACAAATTATCCAAGAATCAGTCGTATATAAATTCGATATATTTTAAAATAAATACAATAAAATGATATGACGATAGCATATAATAAACACCGATACCACTGATAAATCACTGATATACTTAAATATCCGATATATTTAAGTTTAAATTTTACCTAAAATTTAAATTATATTGAATTTAAACTTTTGCATTTTGTGGTCTATGTTTTAATAAGTATTATTTTATCGAACTATTTCAAATATTTTTTATAAGGGAAAAATAAAGTTAGATTGGGATTACTTATATATTGTCATAGGAAGCTCGCAGAAGACTGGAATCAATCTTGTCATCGACTATCTTTATACAAGACGTGTTGTACACATAAAAAATTCACTTTGTGATTGATATACATTATTGTGAAAAAGTTAAGAACCACTAAATAAAAAAAATATTTTTTTCAAATAATTTTCATTCTAAAGATAATAAAATAATCTTTTTTTTTTTCAAACATATTAAAAAGAACATGAGAAAAAAAAAGATATTTTTTTTTTTGAAAACTAAATAAAAGAACCTATAAAAATAAGGATTAAATATTATGTGTTAAATTTTTTCAATTTTTTTTTTGTGAAAAAGTTAAGAACCACAAAGATTTTTTGTGCTAAATGCGGTGAAAACGAGTTTTTTAAATTCATTTTTACCTTTTTATTTAAATATTCCATTAATGACCTGAGTCATTACTAAAAAATTAAAAGTATTAAAAAAAAGTTTAAAAAAAAAAAAAAAATTTCAAACAAAAATTCTTTGCTTTTGAAAAAATGAGCAGAAAAGCTATTACCTAAGAAGATTGTGTAAAAGTAATGCATTTTCACCAGGAAGGTAAAACCGTTCGTGAAATTAGAAAAATAATAAAACGATCACATAGTTCGGTGCTAACCATTATCAAAAGATTCAGAGAGACAAAATCTTACGCTGATTACCATCATTCTGGAAGACCGCGTTTGACGACACCCAATGAGGATCGTCTTTTAATCAGGTTGGCAAAGAAAAATCGAAACATGCCGTCGCATGAATTAAGAAGGGAATGGAAGCTTTTAAATGGATTGGCATCATTTGTGCGTAGGAAACTAATAGCTAACAAGATGCTATGGAAAAAAACTGTTCTAAAATTGCGACTTACCAAACAACATATAAAAAAGCGAAAAGAATTTTGCAAAAGTGTCAAAGAATAGTCTAAAGAAAAATAGAGAACAGTAATGTTTAGTGATGAGATGAATATCGAGGTTGATAACAGAAAAAACCAAATTATGATTTGCAGGCAGCCTTCAGAAAAATATAATCTCAATTGTATCGTTCAAAGAACAAAATAAGGTACCGGGTCGGTTGGAATATGGTGCTGCATGAATATTATGGTCTCGGTATGTTTAAATTATTTGATGGTCGACTCAACTCTATTTATTACGTCGATATTTTAAATAACAACTTGTTACCATCAATTGATGCACTTCAGCGAAACGTTCCGTTCATTTTTCAGCAAGACAATTCACCATGTCACAGGGCTAAAATTATCTCTGAATGGTTCGAAAGCAAAAATATTGAGCGTCTAACTTGGTCACCAAATAGCCCAGATCTAAATTGCATTGAAAATCTTTGGAGTTGGCTTAATAAACAGATTGCCAAGAAAGCACCAAGGAGCCTTGAGCAATTTTTTTTATCAACCATACTTGGAAATGTTCCCAAATACATTTTAGAGAATTTAATAGACTCAATACCAAATCGTATAAATGAGTGCTTAAGAATTCATGGTAGAATTACGCGGTATTAGGTAAAAATTACGTTTTTTGTTCTGTGGTTCCTAATTTTTTCACAATTTTTCTAAAATAAAAATTACCTACAAAACTTTAAATACATTTTTTTTATTTGTTTAAAAGTCTTTGGTATTATTATTATTTTTTACTTTGTTTGTCTATTTTCTAATGTTTATTATTATTCTTATTATTATTATTATATTTCTAATGTTTATTATTATCCTCTTCATTCTCTACACAAATGATCTCGCAAAACTCACTGAAAATTCTGAGATATTTGCCGATGTCCATTTGGGCTCCTTTTTTAAAAGCTGATATGGCTTTGGTTGAATCTGTTCAACGCAAAGCTACAAAATGGGCTTACAGCTTGAGGCATCTTCAATACTGCGAAAGGCTAAAAAGATTAAACCTACCATCACTTGAGTTTCGACGCCTTCGATGCGATTTAATCCAAATTTTTAAATTAATACATCGTTTTGATATAGTTAATGATAAATATCTACCAAAATATATTAACTCCGTGTCTCGTGGTCACCATTCTAAAATAAGGCGTGAGTATGTTCTAAACTGTCTTCCAAGATATAATCATTTGTATAATAGATCAGCAAAATACTGGAACGAACTACCAGAGCAAATAACTTTGTACTCCACTGTACTTTCTTTCAAAAATAGACTAGACTCCTGGTTGTGGAAAAAGTTTGGAACAAATATTTATAAAACTGGTTGTTTATAGTGGGGTGTTTCCCCTGCTCGCTGTATGTGTACATTCTATGTAAATTTACGGCTACTATAATAATACAACTATAATAATAATAATAATTTTTTTTTTACCAGAAAAATATTTTTGACTAAACAAAAATTTACAAAATAAAAACTAATTATAATTTGTTTTTTGGTGGTACTTAAATTTTTCACAATACTGTATATATGGTTTAATAATTTTTTTTCATATTTTGTCTTTTTCTTTTTTTAAGGTTTTCTTCTTTTTTTTTTTTAAGGTTAGATTTCATTT